TGGCTGGTGTGTTTCAGATCGCTATCGTTTGAGCAGCTTCTTTGCAGGTTTTCATCCAAAATGCCTTCTGAGTTCATGACCCCATCAGTGAACACAAGCTCACTGACACTGTAAGACAAACAGCCCTTTAACTTTTCCACCTAACTTGCAGTCTGGTTGGAATTCTTCTTCAGTCAAAGTAATCTACTGTGATGCTGATGCTGTGCTTAAAGTGTTTTTCTCTGAAACAGCTAAAGAATTTTGTTAAAGTTTACCAAAGGTTAATTGGTTAAAGTGACCAAATACTTTCTGGGGCCACTGTATCTGTAATGTAATGTAGTACTGCACATGCCAGGTGGGTTTTCGTACATTTAGTTTGTGTCATCAACAGGTTATAAGTTGTCTACTGTCATCTTTATTCGTTTAGCCTAGTGTGCCACTTATTCAGTTGCCTCCAAAAGTAAGTCATTTGGAAAATATGAGATACTCAGTCTTTTCATAATCTGTCAGGATGTTAAAAGTAGTGCATTGTTTCCAGTTCCTACTGGAATGGGCCTGCGGATAAGCACACAAGCCTGGAGTGGCACCAAGCTCCTCCAGACAATGACATTTCGTGAAGTTTTTCGAGAACGAAGCAGTTTGCTTCAAATGCGCTCCAAACCTGGTGTCATTTCCTGCCACGCTGCTCAAGAGCACTCCACTTGGGCTGGTGACTATAGAAAAGCCTCTGAAGCTCAGAGCACTCTCTGAGTGTTTAGAAAACACAGACGCTGACGTTTTGAGCTGCAGCGTCTTGGGGAGTTTTCTGATATATGATCATGTCTTTAAGGCTGTCCGTGGTTAACAGAGCCCCCTCAAGTGTTGCTAAATGTTGTCCAGTAATTGGTGTGAAATCTGTCGGTCATGCACGCGCTTCACCCAGTTACCCGTTTTGTCTTTGTCACCATCTCCTTGGAGAGTGGGGGAAAACAGTGAGTGGTGTGTGTGTGTGTGTGGTTGAGAGTGACTGTGCCTGCGTGCGTGTGTGTGTCTGTGTGTGGTAGAGAAGGAGAGAGTGATTGCGGGTGTTTGTTTGAAATAGAGAGAGTGAGTGTGTGTGTGCGTGCTTGAAAGAGAATTACAGTGAGAGTGTTTGTGTGAGAGTGAGAGAGTGGTTGTGTGTGTTTTTGTGTGTGTGTGGGGGGGGGGTATTGAATGACAGTGTCTGCCCCGTCCCGTAATAAAATGTAAAAGTGGTGCTTTCACGGTTGTCAACAGACTCTAAATACACTGACAGACAGACAGGCAGCAGGCCGTGAGCTGAGGTCTGAGCCGCATTCCTTACTCAAACTTTCACATTTAAACTCGCAGCGCTCGCACCGCAGTCCAGCCTGACACACGTTTGTTTTCTATGAAATTGGATTCCCACTACGGAAATCTACCCATGACATCTTCCTATTTATCTTTATTGTGTCTGGGAGCTGCTTTCTCTTCTTTTTAGATCAGTGACTCTCTGAGAGGAAAACGCAGCGCACATCATCAGAACTGACATCCCAATATCATAACAGTAAGATTTCTAAAGAAACAGCAGCGATCGTCTACGCTTGATACATATAACAAATGCACTGAGGGTTTTATTCTGGGATGTTAAACAGTGTATTTAGCCTAGTTAGTGTAGGTTTATTTACACGGTAAAAACTCTCCTTTACATGACCATTTTCCAAGCTCTCTTTGTCTCTTAGAATCAGACAGGCTGTTTTTGTTATGGCGTCTTTAAGATCACCTCTGTTCCGATTGGCTGCCCTGTGTTGCTCATTTAAAAAGCAGTCCAGGCTGAAACATACAAAATACATCAATCACTTTAATAAAAAAAATAAGTGTGGAAAATTTGGTTTTCCATAATGCAGGTCTGTGGATGGATAACAATCATGCTGTTTTGTTTATATATAAATTTGTGTAACATTTTGCTATTAGCTAACAGGCAATTAGTGATGGATGTTAAGGGGGTTTGTTGAAATGCTGTTGGTGATGCAGGATTCAGTGTCTTTTGGGACTTTAACTCTGAAATTGGAGAAATTGTTTCTGGCGTGTATAAATATATACTTGGAAAGAATGAGAAACAGAAACAGAGGGACGAGAGACATGGTCCAAGTTGTTATGGTTGCTCTCCTTATTTTTGCACTCATTCACTCTCTCTCTCTCTCTCTCTGGCGTGTCAGTGTGTGTCAGGCTGAATCACCACTTCTCCTAGTTGTTCTGGAACACTGCTTTCTCAGTGTGTGTATGCGCATGTGTGTGTGTGTGTGTGTGTGTGTGTGTGTGTGTGTGTGTGTGGTCGGGGTACCAGGCAGACCGACCAGCCGCAGAAGTGATTAGCACATCTGTACAGTGCTCACCCCACTAATGCCCTCTCTCTCCCTCTCACTCTCTCTCTCTCTCGGGAATATCCTGTGTCCTTTTATTGAATTGTCAGTTACATGCTGCCCGGTTGTACTGAAGGTAATGATAATAAAATTCAAATATCCAGGTAGACCAGGCACAGCGGTGCAGAAATTATTAGCACATCTGTACAACACTCAGCCTACATTCTCTCACTCTCTCACTCTCTCTTTCACTTGCTTGCCATTGGGGGATATCCTGTGTCCTTTTATTGGATTGTCAGTTTCACACTGCCTGGCTGCACTGATGGTAATGATAATAAAATTGAAATATCCAGGTACTTACCACTGTATTACCTTGCTATCAACACCTAGCCACACTCATTTGTTTCCAGGTTTTGCACAGACCTGGTGGGAGAGAGCGAGAGAGAAAGAGAAAGCGGGAGAGATAGATTGAGGAATAGGCTGTTTGATATCGGGGCATTTTGGAGGTGCCGTTTTCCTGGCTAGCGAAAAGACAAGCGCGTAATGCGATTCTCGGGCGTCTGGCCAAAGCCGAATGGTGTAGTGTAACCCATTCTCAACAGACAGGAAAAGGAGCACATTCTCCTGCCATGTATGTGATAATGTAAAGCTCTTTACAGGACCACTGTGTGAGTGTGTGGGTATGTGTATGGGGGTTACAGATGTTCAGATCAGGTTATAAAATTGATTCGAATGAGTGTTCTGGACAGCTGATATCTGTAAAAATGCCTGTGTAAATTCCCTAGGAGTTTCTTTGATGCCGTTTGATCTTCTGTGTGGCATTTGAAATAGCTTCATGGTGACGCGAGAAGAAAGGCCCATCCACGTGAATTACTGCAGCACACAGAGAACATTTTCCGTATGGATCAGCTTCAGGATCAAATGCTACTTTTCCTCATTGCCTATGGCTCTTATGTTCACATTTGCGCAAACTGATTCATGAATAATTCCTAGATCCCAACAAACCTCCCTCACATTAACATAAATATTGCTCCAAAGCTTGCCTTTTTAAATTAACATATAGTGCAGTCTAAGTATTCAACTGGTATCCAACTAAAGCATTGAGTGGAAATCATTACAATCAATTACCAATTTCATATAATTCAATTCTCACTTTAACTTGTAATAGCAGATCACCTTCAAGTCTCCCCATAGGGATTTGAAATAGCCTACACATAACACACGTGATTTCTGGAAAAAAAAACTTCTTGCAACTCATTAAATCCACTCACACTTCGGCCAATCGGTACATCTAATCCTCGCGGGGCTCTTGGGCCGTTGGACCACAGCACAGGGTCAAGGGGTGAAGTGCGGCTAATTTATTCATTCAGTCAGATTTCCTGTGCAGATGGCAGGCTGATACGCTATCAGTATGAGAATCCCATCGGTGGGGAAAAGGCCCGAGTGCTCACACGAGCAGGCCTGCTCTCTTATCTGATCAGAGCGAAGGCCTTATCAGCCTCAGACGCCGCTCCGCTCCACGGACGGCGAGATGGGGGAATAAGAGGCTTATACGCGATCTGGACCGCAGATTTGAGGTGGAGGAAAGTTTCCGTTTTAGAAAAAGTTTGGGCAACGCTTTATTTTGATGGTCCACTGTAGATGCTCTGTAGATACTCACCTTGTATTACATTCAACTAATTAGGTATTAATACAGGCTGTTTAATTAAAAAAAAACTTTTATGCTTTTTTGAAAGAAAAATTCTGTTTTGATTATATGCTTTATTTCTTATATGCTTTATATGTTTTTTCTTGTTGTAGCATGATCTGGTCATGTATTTTGGTCTGCTATAGCTAATCTGAATGTTTAAATAGTTTAAAACCAAATACCATGGTAAACTCAGTTTTCTTTACTTTTTAAAATAAAACATTTTGATGTAGTTCATAAACATTGTTAAAGGCTTCAAATGTACTGTTCACTCCCCAATCCATAGAGTGTGTGTAGGAAAACTAAGCTACAAATGCTTTTAATTTATCATTGTTGAAATGTCCCAACACATTTATATGTGACTGCCCATATGGCCTATAGCAGTTTATTCCACACATTCAAATTGAAGAGATAAGGAGCATTACCACTGGCAATCTGTGGCAGAGTTATTGGAGCAGAAGATGTGGAAAATGATTAAAAAAATGCTGCTTGTGGCTGAAGCAAACGAGCTGCATGGCCTTCCAAAGAATGCAGACATCCAAAAGAAGTTGCTGAAGTTGCTGAGCTAAGGCCCTTGAGGATTTCTGTCTGTCCGATATTCCTGACTTGTTTTTGAATGAAGGATAATACAGAGCAGTCAAACAGAACAGAAGTTGTTTATTTATATCAGTTTTAAAGGCACAGTAGCAAAAACAGCAGGTTTAATTGTAGGGGATAAGGAAAGATTGAATATGGTCATGTAAAAATGAATGAAGAGTTTTTGAAAGTGGACTACACAAACATTGTAAGCGGTCCTCAGGGTAAAAAATTAAATATAGCACTTTTACATTCAACTTTTGTTAAGCCCTGAACCTAAAACTCTCACCCAACGATAACCTAACACTAACCCTAAGTCTGGACCTAATCCGAGCCCTAACATTGTTGAGTTTCAGTTGTTTATAGACAATCTATTAGGGACCATCGTTCTTACCATCTGTTGCTCTGTCCTGCAGAAGGAGCCCTGTCCAGGACGATCCCACAGTGAGAGGCGCCCAGACGCCCTTTTCTGAGAGTGGAGGACGGACCGACCGATTGGCACCATACTCCCCATACCATTCCCCCCCGCTCTCTTCTCTCCACCCCTCCCCCTGACCCCTCCTCCTCCTCCACCTGTTCCCACCAGCAGCCCCGCCGGCAAGATGGACCTGCATCGGGCCGCCTTCAAGATGGAGAGTTCGTCCTACCTGCCCAATCCCCTAGCCTCTCCAGCGCTCATGGTGCTGGCGTCCACGGCGGAGGCCAGCGTCCGTGATGCCTCTATCCCCTGCCAGGGGCCGCGGCCGTTTGGGGCACCCGCCTCTGCAGAGAAGGATGTGCACCTGCCCTTCGGCAATGGCTCCTACACGTTTGCCTCCATGTACCACCGTCAGGGTGCCGTGCCCACTTTTGCCAACCGTGACTTCCCACCCTCGCTGCTCCATCTGCACCATCAGTTTGCTGCACCACCACCCAACCTGGACTGCTCACCCCTGGGCATGCTGAACCACAGTGGTGTGGGGGCCTTCCGGCCCTTTGCCTCGCCACCAGAGGATCGCGACCACCAGGCCTCCTCGGGTGCCTACCAGTCGGCCTTCACCCCAGCCAAGCGTCTCAAGGGCTGCCTGGAGGCTGAGGCCTCACCTCACCTGCGCTACTCGGACGCTGAGGGCAAAGAATATGACTACGGTGGCGCCCAAATCGCCTCTGCCTCGCCTGGCGCCCTCAAGGCCGCTGAGGATGGCAAGAAGATCTTTGCAGTGTCTGGTCTGCTGTCAGACCGAGAGGCTTCTTCCAGCCCAGAGGACCGCATTGAACGCTGTGAGTACTCTCCTGCTTCTTAGGGTTTTTAGAAAACATTCATACTATATACATACCATATTACATTTACATTTTGTTAGTGTTATAAGAAAACCTTGTAACTTTTGGTTTGAAAATACCTTTGCAAATGTTTTTTTCTCAAATTACATTAACAAATACTAAGAGTATTATTTCATTTTCTTACAACATTGATGATTTACAATTATGACATTTAGCAGGTGCTCTTATTCAGAGCAATGTGCAGAGTTTATTTGTCCACTTAGAATGGTAACTCTTAAGCTAGTAGCAGTAGTAAGTAGACCGGAGTCTTAAGACTCCTTCAAGTTAAGTTACTTAATATACTTAAATACAGAGATACACAATACGCAGAGATTTCAAGACGAGTTTTTGTGTGTTAAGAACATGATTAGTGTTCATTTATACACTCATCAAAGAGATAGGAAGACACACACACACACACACACACACACACATACATGCACACACTATTTATTCAGCAGTCTCTAAACACATTCTTTTAGTAGATTCCTAAGGTAACACCTAATCACCTCAAGGCTTTAAACAAATCCAGCCAACTCAAGGCACACATGTTCTTAATTGCAGTGCATTCTAAGCAACTGATTTTTTTATAACATGGGAAAGCTTTTTGTTCTACTGCTATCACTCTTTATGCTGCACATTGTAGTAATTCTCAATAATTCTTTTCAAGTCAAGGCAAAATATGAAAATATTTTCATAGCACTTGTATTGAAACCTTCACCAACAATAACACAGTAAGTTACTGAGCAAGAAACACAAAATAAAGAGAGAAAATGCAAGCGGCATAACCTTACGCAAAGGCAGTTAAACATTTTGCAATCAGGATGCCCAGTAAAGTCATATTGGTATTGTCAGATATTTGCTAAAAAATAAATATTGACATCAGACAGATGTTTAGATTTCACTAATATTTCAAATTGATATTTGATAAGTGATGAATTGATACTTATTGTACTCCAGAAGAGCAGAATGTTTAGAAACCCTAGGCTACCGTGCCAAAATCTCTGCAATTTATTTATTCATTTTATGGCATTAGTAACCCTACAGAAATAAGTGTTAAATTTCTCTGTGATGCTAATGCTGATGGATTTAGTCTGAATTTCTGTATTTTATAAATGTTTTTCTATAGGTATCGGCAAAGAAGTACGTGAATATCGGTATCGGCCCACAATTACCGTATTGGTGCATCCCTAATTTACCATGATAAACAGTGTACAAACTAGCTCACACATTGCAGAAATATTGCGTGGACCGACTCACACATTGCGTTAGCGCTGTGATAATTGGGTAACAAGCTTAATCCGATGTTTTTATAGGGTTGAGTTCATGTCCAGTGTAGTTTAGCTTGATTTTCAGGCAGGCATTTACACAGTCTGGGGATTGCAGTTAAAAGCGACAAGCTCCTAGCCACATTTCCTCATATGACACATTAGTGTGGAGCAGTGTTGAGACTGTGTCCCCTGTCACAAGGCAAAGTGCTGGAGAATGTTTAGACAGGGTGGCCTGCTGCTCCTCCAGCTCAGATCAATTCCACAGATAAAAACCCATAAATGAAATGGAGGGTTTTCTGGGGTGTGTGTGAGAGTGAGAGAGTCAGAAAGAGAGATGAGAAATAAAATACGAAATGAGGGCTGTGTGTGTGTGTGTGTGTGTGTGTGTGTGTGTGTGTGTGTGTGTGTGTGTACACTTCAATCTGCAGAAAGGGAGTTGAGTGGTATTACTGACAGTAATCCAGCCTTACCTCTCTTACTCAAACACATTTGGAATTTCAGTGAAAACAGTGAAAACACATACACACATACACACACACAGGGTAAAATAGATAAATATTAAATCTATTAAAGTAGATGTAAAAAACATGAGGTCATATTAGAGCTGGTTGAGATACTTAAGCTATTAATTTAGGGATGTCCAATCTCTGCATGCTTTAATGGATCAAGTATCAGCTAAAATAATGTTTTTCACCCAAAGGTGTCAACCAGTCGAAAACGAAATGTTCTGGCAGCTGTGGCGCTTTGGGTCTTCAGCTGTAGCAGAAATAGAGCATTCAGAACCTAGAGAATGGATCAAGCTGCTGTCGCTTGTTAGAGCAATATGAAATCATAGTGTATTCTGTAAAACATTATAAAATGGTTACTTTACTTGTGCACTCCAATAAAACAAAAGCAATCCGTTCAGAGAGTATACCATTGTGCACACATTAAAAATGAAGTGATTTCACTGCAGAATATTGAAGTAACTGGTTAGCCAAATCATCAGGAAAGTCAGTATACACTATAAAATGGTCAAAGAATATCAGTCCAATATCAGTCCAGAAAGTCACATTTAACAAACAGGTGAAGCAAAGGTGGTAAGCCTGAAGACATTGGGAGGAGGAGACTGGTGGTAGTCTAACTTTTATGGACATGCAAACTTATCTCACTGTTCTTTTTACTTAATTGTGTATTTGAATAAGGCATGAGTGATGCGGAATGAAAAAAAGAAATTAGATGTGAGCTATCTTGTAGTCTGATAATGTAAGTTTTTAATTGAGGATGCTTGAACTACAGAAATGGTGAAACACAAGCAGCTGATACTACATCTCACATTACACACAGTCTGCACTTGTTTATGCATAACAATAAATAATATATTTTATATTAGAAGTTTGTTAAAATGTGCCAGAATGGCATTTGGAAATTGTTAAAATGGGACAAAATATATTTACTGTCAATGTACTTGAGAGGGTGAGTATAACCTGTGTGCTGGGAAACACTGGGTGTTTATTGGCAGAGCAGCATAATCCTACATAAATTGTGTAGCTACATTAAAAATGGTGAATCAGACTTTGATTTTAAAAACTGTGCAGCAACCCTGACACACACACATGCACACACAGCCGCACACACTGATGTTATCAACGTTCTTGATTATGAGCAACAGCGGCAATGCACAGTATGTACATCTTTAACACCAAAGTTTCAATCAGCGCTCTCTCCTTTTCCCCTGTAACAGCCATTGCCTGACAACACCATACACACATCAACCTCGTCCATCTCACCTGCTGACAGAGAGCATGTGTGTGAGTGTGTATGGGCCTCGTTATCTTTGCTCGTAATTGCTAGCGCGAGTCTCGGCTCATGTTGGATTCCTGCCTGTCTTTCCTTCTCTCCCACTCACTTTATTTGGCTGTTCTTTACATCTCTTGGCTTGTATCTTCCTCTGCCCCCCTCATTGTCTTGCTCTAATCCCTCCCCCCCTTTTCTCACTCTCCTCCTCTGCTGCAATTCCCAAACTACCGTGATTTCTACTTTTCTATCATTTTTTACATGTGTGAGTATACACCCCCGTCTCTCACTCTGCACTAGGATGCGACAGGCAGGCAGGGCTGAGAGAGTGACAGAGAGAGAGAGAGAGAGAGAGAGAGACAGAGAGAGACAGAGAGATGGAAGCACTCTTGATGGAACAGATGAGAGACAGGAGCAGCCAGCTGAGACTGATCGGATAAAGAGCCCAACACACAGGCAGAGAGAGCTGAGAATGACACCCAACAAGAAACAAGAAGGAGTAGGAGAGAGCTCAGAATGTAGCTGTATTTTTTGTTTTTTATTATTATTATTATTATTGTTATTGTTATTATTATTATTAACTTTATGACTGCTTACTTCAACCAAATGTGTTCTCCAGTTTAACCTTTGTCAAAATGATACTCAATACAGTCATGCCAATAAGGCTGTCTGGAATAGAACTGAAAAACTGAGAAAGAGAGTGAGAGAGAGAGAGAGAGAGAGAGAGGGAGAGGGACAGACAAAAGGAAGCTTCATATCTCATCTAGAATTTCTCTTCCGAGGCAGAGGTTTTTCATATTCTTGACAGTCGGTCTCTGCAAACTGTTGCAGGTTCTCACTGCATGTCCATTCACTTTGGTTCGTGAGATTATGACGCCTTGTCCAGGCTCAGATTAACTGTAAGATAGCGGTCCTCTCGGGCCAGTCCCAGTATAATCGCGGCCCTCTCAATGGCCATTAATCTGATGCTCAGAGAGCGCGATAAGGGGGAATATGAGAGTGGATTAAGGTGGGAGCAGAAGAGGCCTGGGAATACACCCGAGAAGAAAATGAGTTTGAGAGGCAGAAGTAGTTCTTTCTCCTCACTCTGTGCTTCTCTCTTCCTCTCTCTCTACTTCTCTCTTTCACTCTGTCTCTCTCTCTCTCACACATACACTCTCTCTTTTGGAGCTGTATCTAATTAGATTAAACCTCAGGCCCACCAAGGGCCCTAATGCAATTGAATTTCCAGCACCAGAAGAAGAGACTTAAATTAGGTTCCCCTTGACTGGGTACCTTGCTGCTGGTTGTCACACCAGGAGTGGTGTCCTCACACTCAGTGTGTGTGTGTGTGTGTGTGTGCTAAGCTCCAAATCTGCACTTTCCAGCCAAGAGCACGATGCTCAGCTTCTGTACTGTCAAGCAGGAAACTTCACTATAAAGCCCCATCATATCGACGCTGTCACTGATAGACTTGATGTGACAGAATTATCTTCATTCTTAGTTTAACTTTGTTTAAGGTTTAGCACTTTTCCACTTGGTAAGTTGTCATTACAAACCCATTGCATGCTTTGTAGTTGGAAACAACATTTGGTATTGGAAAGTAGATATTCCTTTAGTTGTCTGATGTGGTAGACTGGGATTCAGTTCCCTGCCCAGGCATGAACACCATGCTATACCAGTAAGAATCCTTGGGCGAGACCCCTAGCTGTATTTTCACCTCCCTCTGTAACATGATTAATTTGTAAGTCACTCTGGCAAATTTCTGAAATCAAATGAAAATTGGTAATTGATAGCTGAACCTACAAACCTAATGCGAGCTAGTTAGCAGTTTTAGCATTTCTAACATTGTCAAATGTCTTTGGTTTAATTGGTATCTGTTAAAAGTAAGTTGGACATAGAAAAATACCATAAACCACTCAGAATGCTAGTTTT